AGTTCCTCTGGCTTCTGTACTTAAGATGTGTGTTTCTTTGCTTCAATTTCATAATCGTTGGAAATATACATTTGTCTAGGCTACAAACATACACAACTGATGATATATATCAATTAACAAGTAGCTTTTTTTTACCAACACTTGACAAGCAGCTACAAGAAGAATAGTTCTTCTTGCAAACAATGTTTTTTAGCATCATATCATGTTGATGTAGTTTTCCATGTTGTTGACCTCATAATTATTACTGTCCCTATACCTATAATAGCTTCAGTAATGCTTTACTCTCCCATTGGAAACTAGTAGCAAATCCTGCATATTTTCCCTGGAAAAGTTACACTTCCAAATGATAGGCTGAAGTACCAACATGGAGGAATTACTAAAAGGTAATTGATAGATAATAGCCTAGCAATTATATATGGTCAATCCATAAAAGGTAATTGGCTGGTTGGCAGCTCTGTTTTACTTTGATTTTGTTGTTGACTTGATGATTTTGGATTTATGACTACAAGCTTGGGTTCCAAGTTCAAAAGTTAGGTAGGAAAGGATTATGAAAGGTTGTATGGGAGAATTGCCATTGTGTCCATTGCTCCTAACTTAAAATTCTGGTCTGAAGATATCTTTTGCTCGAATACAGATTGCAACTACAAAATTTGAAGCAAAATCATCGATTGGAAGAGGTGGGTTCTGGAAAGTCTATAAGGAACTCTTCAAAGTATCAAAGTGGCTGTAAAATAATGTGAACCAGGCATGAGCCAGGTATTCTGGAATATCAGAAGACTTAACTTTGTTATATCAAATCTGTTTTGTTCATCTTGTTTCTTTGATTGGTTATATATTGTGATGAAGGCTCTGAGATGGTACTGGACTTTTGAGAGATCGTCTCTGTGATTCAAATAAATATTTTCCATATTATTTTGGGAGCAAGGAATTCATATCTGTATTCATATCTGTATTAGTTTATCATTTATTAAAGCCAAAAAAAAATATGTTGTTGTCAGGTGGACCAGTGTCTCATGGTGCCTTTCTCATCCAATGCAAAACACATGAAGACGAGCGCCATCAAACTTTTTCTTAGTGGAAGAAACTTTTTTTTTGGTAAACTGGAGGGGATAAACCCCGAACACAACAGCAACTAAAAGGAAACAAGTGGAAGAAACTTTAGTCAATTACATGGTTCGCTTTAAGTAGAGAAAACTAAGATACCCAAAATATCCTTTGTTGTATTTGCTTAGTCTATGAAATATAAGGGATATTTACATAAATTCAACCCTAATTTCGCTTGGGATTTTCTATTTTCCAATGTGCATGGTTGATATTAGTAGAATTAAAGCATCCATCTTAAAATCAGTTGGCTTTAATTTCCTGACGTGGGATTCTCTCAACAAACATTTATCAACTTTAAAAGTCCGCAACTTTTCCTATTCCAAGTCTTTGTCTTGCATAATTTCCATAATCATTCAGCTCCAAATTCCATTCCCAGATGAGCATTGCTTCGGCTAAGAATTAGCAAAATTCAGTGACTCCATTATCTATCATGGAAAATCTTCATAACTGTAGAACCCTTGTCCCCATGTTTTCTCTGCTTGCTCTTCTCCTCCACTTATCATCCTTTCACTCTCTGTCTCTAGCTTATGAGCTCCCAGATAAGAATTTCATCAATTGTGGATCAGATGCTGCTATAAACTTAACTAGCAGGACGTTCATTGCAGATGGTTCCTTCTCCTCACAGAAAAGCAAGGCTGTCAAAGCCAGCAACCAGCTTCCAGATAATATATCAACTCTCTACCAAACAGCAAGAATTTTCAGCCAGCAATCCTACTATAAGTTTGAGATCAGTGAAAACAGTACTTATCTTGTACGCCTGCATTTCTTGGCTTTCTCCTCCTCAGTTAATCTCTCCACAGCTCTTTTTGATGTTCTGGCTTTTCCTAATGTTTCAACTTCTGGGTTCAAACTGTTGAGCAATTTCACTGCTAAGAATAGTAGCAACTCTCCTTTGATAAAGGAGTTCTTCCTTGGGAT